CAGCCCAAAATAGAAATAGAAAATAAATATGTTCTATTTATTTTTACTGCTACAGTTTTTCTTTCCTTAATATCTTCCTGTGACACAACTTAATAGTAAAGACATTTGCTTTGAATCATTCCCTGATCCACTCAATTTTAAAAATGCCAAGTAGCTTTGCAAAACTTGATGCTGAATTGGAAGCTCATTTGCTTACATTCTTAACGTGATTTTTTTTATTGCTTCTTAAATAATGTCCAAATTCATATTCAAAGCTTTAAAAATAAAACCTCTGTAAAGGGCTGGAGCGATAGCACAGCGGGTAGGGTGTTCGCCTTACACGTGGCCAACATGGCCGACCCGAGTTCGATTCCTCTGCCCCTCTCGGAGAACCTGGCAAGCTACCGAGAGTATTCGATATGCCAGACACAGTAACAACAAAGTCTCCAATGGAGACGTTACTGGGCCCGCTCGAGCAAATCGACGATCAACGGGAGGACCTTTACCTTTACCTTTTAACCTCTGTAAAACTGCTCTCAGCACCTGGCTTACAATTGTATGTAGCACTGTACTGTCCTCTGGTTGTTCATCGATTTGCTCGAGAAGGCCCAGTAATGTCTCCATTGTGAGACTTGTTGTTACTGTGTTTGGCATATTGAATATGCCATGAGTAGCTTGCCAGCTTTGTCGTGTGGGTGAGATACTCTCAGTAGCTTGCCGGGCTCACTGAGAAGGGCAGATGAATCAAACTCAGGGTTGGCAGGGTTGGCCACGTGCAAGGCGAACACCTTACCCACTGTGCTATCGCTCCAGCCCTTACAATTGTATAAGCTTTGATAATATGTATACAATTTATAGTATTTCTTGATGCCTCATACAGACCATACTCATATGTCCATAGTCATATACACAGTACATATGTAGAAACACCAACTCTTTTTGCATTCCTTTGCCTTGAATTCCCTTCCTTTTAAAAAAAATGCAATTTCAAGTCCCATTTATTTTCTAAATATTCTTCTCTGAATAACTTTACCTGTCTCTGACAAATAACTTTTTTCCTCCCTATCTAACCCAAACAAATCAAAATAGCTAATCAGTTCAACATTGATGATAGATTAATTCACAAATTAAGTTAGAGCTATTTTGCTCTAAATTTTAGATTTATTTTTAAGTACATATGTTTTCTATTTCTCATGACACTAAACTCTAGTGGGTTACTGTTTTGGGAGGGTACATTTTTTGGAAGTAGAAGTTTATGCATATTCATCAAATAAAAATGATTCCTTCCAAAAATAATTTTTCACTAAAATTAAAAGGAATTTAAAGCTGTTGAAGAAAACATTTCATAGCATTACAGGCATTAAGAAAAGAATGTTGTGAGTTAAATGGAAAATGAGAGTTTGAGTTTTACTTCAAAAAAAAATAAGCAAAAAATAAAGTAGACATTTTAGTGAAAGTCAGTGTTACACAGGAACTAAATAATGGTCAATATTGTAGTTGAAGTGGTTCTAGTTAACACTTGATAAATCTTGTCAACTCTCTGACTTCTAATAGAAGAAGTAAAAGTTGAGGCATGCATTCAGCTTGATTTATAGCCTTTTATACTGAAAAACATTTTAGTGGCCTCTCTCAGAGTAATCACATTTCTTTCATTTTAGAACTAGCAACTAAGAAAAAAATAAAACAGAGCTCCATAAAAAATATTTTCAAAGTCACAAAGATAGTATAACGTTTAAGGGGCACATCATGCATTCAACAGCTTAGTTTGATCCTTACACCACATGGTCCCTGAGCATGGACCCAGCCTAGGGGGCCTTGAACGCTACTAGGTGGCTCAAGTAATTCATGGCATTATAAAGTCTTGATTTGAACCGTTGGCTACCTTGGTCAAGACTTCATCTCTCCTGAATAGAAACATCCTTAATCATAAATCGTTTAATGCTTCTTGAGTGGTTTCTAATCAGTATTAACAAGGAAAAAAAAGTAGACAATGAGCAAAGTAAATGTAATTTTAAATGTAAATGCAATTTTTTACTATTTTAGAAAAGGAAACATTTACATTGGGGTCCTAAATATTATTTGCTAAATAATATGAATGTTGAAGAACATTTGTGTTCTTTATCTATTTGGTGTCAGTGATATCCCCATATGCAACTTCTCAGTACAGTAACAATCAAAAATATTTTCAGACATTGTCAAATGCCCTTAGTGTGTGTAGGGGCAAAATTAATTTTGTGAATAATCATGTAAAACAAATTCCAAAGAAGTCTCACAAAGGTGAATTGGGGATACTTTTTACTGCTTTTGTTTTGGGGCATACCTGGCAGTGCTTAGAGAGATTCCTGTGTCTGTGCTCAGAGTCCCCCCTAGTGATCTCAGCCATATATAGTGCTGTGTAATCAAAGCTAAATTGGCCATATGCAAGAGCCTTACTATTTCTCTACCTCTTGACTCTGATGTTACTTTCCTTTAGTAATAATTGTATTCAGAAATCTGTATAAAGGTACAATAAAGTCTTGTTTAGAAACCTATATAATAAGAATGGTACAAAGCTAAGTAATCTCAATTCTTTCATTTGCAAAATATGTAAAAACAATTTCAAATTTGTCTTGACAAAATATTTCTCAGAATATTTTAATTTTATTTATGAATAAGAGGAAGACGTGGAAAGAGAAAGATATCTTGCAATATTTGGGGATGCAGTATATAAATAAAATACATTTTAATTTATCACAGGAAAATTATATATGAAGAATTGAAAGAGTAAAAAAGAAAAAAAGAAAATTAAAGGGGCATACTATTTGATTCTTAACTTCTGTATTAATTGGTAGCAGTTGTACATTTGTTTTATAAAAGTTCGGATTATTATGAGAGAAAGCAAATCTTGGAACATATTCCATTTCTACCAGATGGAGAAAGACTTGGTTTGGAGAACAGTAGAGGACGTCACTATAGAGTACATCAAAATCATCAAATCCTAGTCTAAAACAACAGAAAATGCATTCTATTTAGGTGTAATTAAGATCAAAGGAGAAACCACCAAAGGTCAGAGTGACTAAATATTGGACTAAATTACTCTTCAAAACCTCAGTTACATGTTTTTACATTGAGATCAACAACAGAAATCACTTAATGTGTTCTATGATACAGTATTTTTACAACAATGAGCATTAGTAGTAATTTATCCATTTTTATCATCATTAAAAGATTGCTGTAATGAGTAATTTCATAGCACACAAGTGTCACTGATAATAGTCGGAAAATTTGAAACTCATACTTTATTTAACAACAAAAATTATTAGACATAGTTTTCTAGAGACAAATTTAAACCAGTTTAAATGTGGCCAGAGTGATAGTACAAGGAGGGTGCTTGCTTGCGTGTGACTAACCCCGGTTCAATCCCTGGAATTCCAGGAGTAAGTCGAGAGCAAACACAAGTGTGCTTACCCAATCCAAAAAAAGTGAAATAAAGTAAAAGCTAAACTCACTTAACCAAATAGAAATAGCCTCTGCTATGATACATTTTCTTTCCTAAACAACCTTTATGAAAAACAAAAACCTACCTTAGATTTTTATCTAAGGAGTTGAAGCAATAGCACAGCAGGTAGGGCGTTTGCCTTGCACGCAGCTGACCCGGGTTCAAATCCTTTGTCCCTCTCGGAGAGCCTGGCAATCTATCGAGAGTATACTGCCCACATGGCAGATCCTGGCAAGCTACTGTGGCATATTCAATTTGCCAAAAACAGTAACAACAAGCCTCACAATGGAGACGTCACTGGTGCCCATTGGAGCAAATCAATTAACAACAAGAGGACAGTGCTACAGACAGTGCAATACTACAGATTTTTATAGTGTTTATATTTATAATTTAAAAGGAATATTAAAATATTAAATTTCTAGTAAAACAATGTATAAATGTGAATGATAGTACTTTGCATTATCGATTTAAGGACCATATATTTAGCGGGTTGGATGTTTGCCTTGTAAGCAGATGACCCAGGTTTGATATTATATTTTAGTGAAATTAACTAATAGTCTAAAATGTCACTGTTGATTAGTAATATATAATTGAATTTAAAATTAGAGACTAATCCTAGGACAGTTCAATTCTTCTGTCACAAATTACAGAAGGGTGAAGGGCCTGTAAAAATCTGAAGAGTTCAGAGTCTATGTTATATTTTTAGGTGTGGAAATAAGAGAAAACAAAAACATGTTTACTATAGGTCACACATGCCAGTATTTCAAAAGTCTCAAAGTAAAAGTCTTATAAAATGAAAGTGTTACCATCTTTTTATTTTAGCTATTTTTTGTTTGGTCTGAGATATGTGTGTAGGTAAAAAAATGTTTGAAATAATGTTTTATGAAGGCATAAAAGTTATAAATAACTTAATATTCTTTCATTAGTGATTATTTTATTGTAAAATTTAAATAAGAAGTTTTGTGACACATTGTAGAATTTAAAATTTTAGCAATCTATTCTGAATAAATATTTAAAATGGTTTTCTAGCTGTACTTAGAGCAAATGGTCAGTGCTATGTGTTATATTACACATTTTCAAAGAAATTCTGCTTAATGCTTGTGATACAGTAGCTGTCTTGAGTTCTTTGTGGGTCCTTTATTATGAATCCCTGGTATTCCTGCAATAATGAAAGTGTTGTTATTCAAATGCACATAAATGCATTCAGTCTATAATAATAGTATTCATAGACATCTATAAATAGTTGAAGAAACAATTGTATGAAATGCTTGATATTCATCTCAACCAGATTTTGCAATTTCACTTTTAAACTCAGTCTTCAGAAATAATCCAACAGAAGTGCTTTTAAGATATTCAGATATTTTTGTTAACTTTTAATGGAGGGGGTGGTAAGTTCTTAAAATCAAATGCTGTTTTTCAACACGTCTAAGATAACTCTAGCAAATACATCCAATTATAAGAAATAACAAAAAACTCATTTGTATGACATGAAGTACTGTGTTTATGTTTTAATGACCTCGTTAATATTCTTTATTTTTTCTAGATACACCATCAGTCAAGATTATACCATCCACTCCTTTTCCACAAGAAGGACAGCCTTTAATTTTGACTTGTGAATCCAAAGGAAAACCACTGTAAGTATTTTAATGGCAATGAATTTGTTCACCTCTTTTTCTATTCTGCTTTAGTTGTAGAAATTAACTGGATAAATCAAGTTTATCTTTTCTAGGTGGGCAGAATGAGTTCTAGAATAGAACCTCTCCTAAACCCCCAAACCATGTCTCTATTAAGTATACACTGAAAAAGGTATATTTTTGTCACCTGCTGAAGTTTCTGTGCAGATTTCCAACTCTGTGTGTGTGTTTGTGTGTGTTTTTCATCTTTGTTCCAGTAGGATAAGATATTTCAACCTGAATGGACTTACTTAGTCACTGTTTTTTGTCACTTTATTATAGAAATTAAACATTGTAAAACGTAGTTCTTCCATGTCATGTTCTTCCATGAAAACCTTAGAAAGGAAAGTATTGAAGTTGAGCTGGAAAAATAGCACAGCAGGTAAGGAGCCTGTTGTATTATCAGCTTCATGCAAACCTAAAATCAGCTTGCAAGCAGCCAACCTTAGGTTTGATCTCCAGCAACACAGCTAGTACCCCAAATCCTGTCAGAAGTAATCCTTGAGCACAGAGCCAGTATTAAGCCCTGAGCACTGCCAGGTGTCGTACAAAATGTTAAAAAAAAGTTATTGAAACATATCTCAAAATACATTTTAAAAGTACATGAGTAATCATGTTCATAATAAAGGAAATCAAATGTGCATTTATTATGTCACCTTTATCAGACTTAATTTGAAATGTAATGTGTTTGGTGGAAATAAAAATGAAGGTCACAGCTTTTATTTAGTTGGAGACTGATTTCATTGTTTAACATAGGTGTTCTAACACCACCACAAATCTCATATTTTACTTTTTAATATTCAAGTTTATAGACAGCCAAAAAGCACAGAGTAAACTGAATATAAAAGAGGGATGTTATTATCCAGACAGCAGTTTAAGTTGCAAAGTATGCCTAACATCGCAGGCTTAGAGTAAGCATCAAAAAGAGAAAATAGGCGTCTGGTTTTGTTGGGAGAGTTAGGATTACTGAGCAGTCTAAACATATTTAGTAGTTTTTTCAGAAATGCTCTTACATATTTATGTGTGTGGCTGTGCTCAGTTCATGGACATGTATGTACATGTATGCACCTGGAACATATGTAGAGAAAATGGCAAGAAACATGGTCAGGGATAGGATTTTCAAACAATTATGGAGAGAAAGGTAACTAGTGTGAGAAGTGGTCCATCCTAATTGCCCTTAGAGGACTGTTGAATCAGGGCTCTGAGATCCAGACATCTACAAAGACATTCATAAGTTTCTCTCTTGATCAAATCAAAGCTAAAAGAATGCAGACAACCAGCTTCCCTCAAGAGGAACTATCGCATTGTCCAAAATACACTCTTAGGCCAGTATGGTTTTCTTTTCTTTTCTTTTCTTTTCTTCCACACCTCCCCCACTTTTCTTAACCCAGAAGACACTTCTAAGGGTTCTCTTGCTAAGGGCTAGGTAGAAAAGCAGAGGGGTAATATCACAAGATTGCAAAAAGTTTTGATTTTCTGAATACAGCAAATTATTTGATGGGGGAGGCTGGAGAGATAACAGGTTGAATTTGCCTGCCAGGAAGTTCAAAGTCATACCCGGTATAATATGCTCCACTGAATACCTCCAGGAATGAACTACAAGTTCCAAACCAGGGATATTCCCTCAGCACAGCCTGTTATGCTCGATCTAGTAGAAGTAAAACCTGCTTTTCAGAGATTACTCCTACCTCTACACTTGGTGATCACTTCTGGAACTCTCTGGGACTATATAGGTTGCTAATGATCAAACCAGAACTGGCCTTGTGTGAGGCAAATGTCCCATCTGCTCATTATTTCTAGTCCCAAGACTTCTTATTTTAGAGGGAAGAAAATTAATATCCTACCATATTGACAAATATTTATTTACCTAGGTTTAAAATAGAGGAGATGTTACTTAAACTCATTTTAATCACTGCTCGGAGTTTGCATTCTTTCTGTTGTCTTCTGCTATATTAATTGCTGTGCCTGAATTTTCATTTGTCTTACCAAAGCAATGTTTGAAAAGCTAGAAAAGGATTAGTTTCAAGATGCATTTTTCTATGGCAATCCTTTTTCATTAGACATGTTAATGTATTTCTACCCTTTTCAAAATCTTTACCAAATGCCTACCAAGATATTTCTGGCATGAATTTATAGACATATTTTTTAAAAAATTCTAATGATATAGTATATTTTGGTTTGAGGGCCACACTTATTGGTGTTCAGGGCTTTCCCCTGGCTGTACATTCAGAGATCATTCCTGGAGGTACTCAGGGGACACTATAGTTCCCAGGAATCAAACTTGGACTTGCAAGGCAAGCATCCTACTTGTTGTACTATTGCCTTAGCACCAAAACTTCTAATGACATGGTATCTTATGTCTGCCAACACGTAAGTCTATAAAGCTTTTGAAAAAGTCATTATATTTTTGTTTTCCTTTATTTTATTTAGCTAGTACTTATTTAGCTATAATTTATGGGGTTGGGGGTATAATTGGGTCTTACTCTGCAATCTTCAGGTTATTTGATGGCTCTGTGTTAGAGTGATTCATGGTATTGCAAGGGGAAGTCACATGCAAGTCAAGTGCATTATGTTCTATACTATCTCACTGGCCTTTATTTTTAATTTTTTAAATCCCAGTGTCATATTATTTATGCTATAGTTTATAAATAAATGTATATGCTGAATATATTATATAATTATTCCCAGCTGCCTTTTCATTATGTCTTCCCATGTAGATAGCTCAACTATTAATACTTTTGATGCCTTCCTGAATTCAGGCTTCTTCTCTAAAATCTCCCCGAATCTTCATCCTGATATCCATCCTCCTGGGTTAGAGAGAGATAGTATAGAGGGTAAGGAGCTAGGCTTGCATGCCCCAATTTGATCCCTGGAATCCTATAGGGTTCCCTAAGCACCTCTGGGGAGTCATTCCTGCACACAAAGCCAGAAGAAAGCCCTGAAAATCTCCAGGTGTGACGCCAAAACAAACAAATCTACCCGCCTGCATCTTCAATAAAGCTATACGTTCCAAGAAATGAAAGCATTAACCTCTTTAAAGACAGTCTAATTTCAAGTTTCTCTTTAGTTTATATTGTTTTTCCAACAGTGTCAGATGAGGCAGAGAGAAAAAAACAGAACAAAACCAAACAAAAACACAAGAGAAAACAGAAAAAAATCATTGTATTTTCCCAGAAGGCGATCTTAGTGATCATAAAGAAAATGGTCTCAATAGAGAAAAGAGAAAACAATGGCAAATTGAAATGGATTAATCAGGAAGCAAGAAATTGGAGAAGTAAAGTTAATGGAAAGACAACCCATTATAGAAAAGGAATCATGAGAAGTAGAAAAGGTCACAAAGAAATCTTTATGAAAAACATGATTTAAAATAAAAATGATAGAATATAAATACCACTAAGTGTGAGAGTAAAACTGAATTATGAGGTATCACATAGGCCCAATGTGAAGTTCCAAATCTCACATTTTCTTCTGTTAATCATTCCAAAACAAACAATACATTACTTTGTAGTTATTACACCTGATTTCCCATTTTGTTGTTTCGGAAACACTGAGAATCAACATCAGCTTGCTTTAGATGTGTTCCTGAAACATGTAATTTAACTTTACTGGTTAAATGTTCCACCACTAAAAAACGGGAAAAATCAGAAGTAGATAACTGAAAAATTCACTTCTTTACTTTGTTAGTTTTTGTTTTTCAGCCACATCAGACAGTGCTCAGGACTTCCTCCAGGCTTGTACTCAGAGATCACTCCTAGCAGAGCTCAGGGAAAGATATGGGGTCCCATGAGTTGAACTTGGCAATTCTCTAAACTTACCAGCCATAAGCAAGGCAAGAGCTTAATCCACTGACCACCACTTTGTATCCTATAGGCAACTTGAGAATCTTTAGTCCATAATCAAATATTAATTTTTTTTCTTTATAAAATGCAGGGCTGGAGCGATAGCACAGTGGGTAGGGCATTTGCCTTGCATGTGGCCAACCCAGGTTTGATTCCTCTGTCCCTCTCGTAGAGTTCGGCAAGCTACCAGGAGTATCCTGCCTGCATGGCAGAGCCTGGCAAGCTCCCCATGGTGTATTCAATATGCCAAAAACAGTAACAACAAGTCTCACAATGGAAACATTACTGGTGCCCACATGAGCAAATTGATGAACAATGGGAGGACAGTGCTACTACAGTGCTACTAGTATAAAACGTTGGTTCAAGTCCAGAGTGATAGTATAACTGATAGAGTTTGCTTTGCAAACAGTCAGACTTGCTTCACTACCCCCCATGCATGTAGTCCCCTGAACACCTCCAGGAGTGATCCCTTTATACAGAGTAAGGAATGATCCCTGAAAAACGCTGATTAAATCCCCAAACCCCAATCAAAATACGACCAATGTTTGAATGTAACTTGTTCATCATGTTTATGACACAAATGGAGTGCAGACAGACAACTATAGTATCACTTTTATACATCACAAAGTGATAGAACTCATTTGTATGGATCCTAAGGTGTCTATTTTGTCCTCATGTCGGTTCTGTCTTTTATCTTGTGGAGCTCCAGTGACAGTTTGTGAACAACCGTGCCTTATTTGCCTGCTTTGGACGGAAGTCTTTGCTATTATTTTGTGGAACAGCTGCATAACTTGGGTCAGAACCAAATTGTTCCACTTGACATTACTCTAGAGGCGTTTTATTCTTTCCTTAAAAGAGAGATTACTGTACATGTCTGTCTATTGTTTTAATTTTAATCTAAAGTAAGGACCTAGCTAATGCCAACCACTTTTCTTTCCTGTCCCCAGAGTTTCTGCAACCTTCTTTCTTTGGCTGACTTCCCAGACAGCATTCAGGCAGTAGCATTCTCCTTTTATAGAAGTAGAGAGGAAAAAGCTGTTATATTACATTGAAGCCATGACCTAAAAAGTACAGGGCCAACCCCTCCCCTGTAAATTATAGTTAAATAATAGTCATTCAATA